CTGCTTTCTTCTTCTGAGTTTTTTTTGCTCCCTCAGACTGAAGTTCTTCGTTTTGCAGCAAGAGGGTCCAGCATTACTTTGTGTGCCTGGTGGGTGAAGCTGTGGGGAGCAGAACATCTCTGAATGGAGCTGAACATCCAATGTGTGCTTGCCCTCAGAGTGGGGGAATTGGTGTGATGACTCAGAGGGGCCACTTCTCATTCAGTGAGTCAACACAGCTTTAAGGGGAAGTCATGACTCACAGGCGGATTTAAATTCTTTGAAGAAGTCGACAAGCATGTGGCAGAGGGTGATCCAGCTGATGTAATGTGCTGAGACTTCTAAAACTCTTTTAGCGAGACTTCTCACCAAAGGCTCATGGAGAAAGTCAACTGTCATGAAGTAGAAGTGCTTTGGTTTGAAAGGGAGGCAAGACAGAGGAAGGATTTGACAAGAGAAGGGACTTACAGATGGAGTTTTGTTGGCATCTATGCAAGGAATTGTGATGTTCAAGGAGGGTGAATGCTGAGATGACCAAGTCAGCCAGTGCCACGGCATTTTTCGCGGTGGTCACAAGTAAAACTGACTGTGCAGAGGTGCAGCAGGATCTCATCATTCAGAGTTACTGGAGGTTAAAACAGCAGATGCAGTTCATTGTTGATAAAGGAAAAGTAATGTATATAGGGAGAAGCAACTCCAGCAGTACACATGCAATGATAGGCTCTAATTTAAATATTACCTTGTAAGATCTTGGAGCAGCTGTGGATAGTCCTTCAAAAACATCAGCCTGAGGCTCTGTGGAGATCAAAAATGCAATGAGGGCATTATGAATTACTAGGAAAGCAAATGCATGTTATGCTAGGGCACTAATCTTGGAAGCCTATGTCTTACGTGCTATGATTCCCATCTACCCCATCAGAGAAAGGACAAGTAGTTTTAGAAAAGGACAAGGGTAGAGTAGGAGGGATGAACAGGGACATGGAATGGTTTCTGTTGGAAAGGGGAATAATAGAGCAGGACTCCGAGGCTGAAAAAGAGATGTCAGATGGAGATATGACACAGATTTCTAAAGTCATGAGCAGCAAGGAGAGGACAGTCAAAAGCTGTCCTCTTGTTCCTGCTGTTAAAAACATATGAAGGAGGGAGTGTCAGATGGTTGTATCAGCCAGAGGATTTAAAACAAAGAGAAGGAAGTGTATTTTCATCCAACAGATAATTAAACTATGGAAGTCACTGACCAGGATGTTGTGGGTATTTATCCTAAGGGATAAATGGATTCAAAAAGCAATTAGATAACTTCCTGGATGAAGATCTCTCTAAGGCTATTAACCACTGTGATGTAAATACAACTCTGTAAATACTTGTCCTGTTTCTCATTCTCCTTCCCTGAGTACTTGCTACAGATGACTGTCAGAGATCGGAGTCTGGGCCACATGGGGTTTGGTCCAGATGCATTGTAACTGCCTGTAAGTCTGTGCAACTAATGGACCCTGCTGACATCAGTGAGAATAGAGTTGGGCAGTCTTGTCATTTTCCAGCAAGTGGATGGAGGGACAGAGTAGCTGAAGATCACTGAGATCACAAGGGGATCCTATGAAAGGAGTCCAAGTGCTCTGTGTTACCTGAGTCACTTTTGATACCTGCATACTAAAAACAGCCATAGCCTCTTTCCTCCTGCCTTTCTCTAAAGATAGCTTGTTCATAGTGAAATAACTAAAGAAATCATGTTTGAAAAATCCTTTATTTCCTGCAGCCAGGGCAACTCTAATGGCAAGTGTTGTTATTCACATGCTAATTCTCTCCAATTTACACAGAGCTTACCAACATGAAAATGAAACTAGCAATGAGTGCAAGGATTGTGTATCCACCTAACGAGTATCAGATGGGTTGTTCTCCGTTCCTCAGAACTTCTCCCACCTAAGAAGATTTATGTGGCTGAATGTGTTTGTTCTGATCAATTACCCATGTTGCAGGCATGGATACAAATACAGAAAGGAAGCAGATAACGTTCTTGATCCAAAGCCCACTAAAGTCAGCAGAAATGCACCTGATGTTCACAAAAAAGTTTTGGCCACATTGAAAAGGATGAAACTTTTTATTAGCTTCAGTGAACAAAGCGCTTAAGTGCATTGTTAGTTGGTGACAGTTTTTATATAACCCAGAACTATTTACCAGTGAATACATCATTGCTCTCACCTCTCCTGATCGAAGGATTAACATGCAGTTGTGGAAGGCATGAGTTCAGCACCAGATCTGATTTGATGTTGCTTTTCAGTCATCTTCTAGTTGACAAGAATTGTGGAACAGAAGCAAAGGTGCTATTTTCAGAACATTTTTCTGTCCAGTAACTTGGCACTGAGGCTGAAGATCAGAAGCAGGTATCTGGTTGTGTGCTGTTGACCAGAAGTATTTCACCACCAGGATGCGGGAGGCTGAAAGCAGCATAAAATCTTCGATCTTCAGTTGTTAATCTGAGCGTTCACTAAATTAATGCTACTGGAAACATCACGGAGCTTAGATAATCGTACCAGCTCGCTCCTCTCACAGCCTCTCCTACACAAGGATGGAAAAACCTTGGGCCAAGATTACTGAGAGCTTAAGTTGGATACAGGGATATTAAGAAATGTCCAAGAACTGAGTTTATTTTCTCTATCTTTAGGCCTGTAAAACCCAGACTATTGATTCATCTGGGCTCCTACTATAATTCTGTGAGTGAGTTTATCACATAGAGAGGATGATTTAGCCCACTTCGTGATAAAATCATCAAGTTAAATCCCTGAAGAGAAATATCATGTTAGAAGTTGCACCCATTGGAGCAGACCAGCTCAGCCCATGTGGAAAGGGATCTGAAGCAGGATTTGCATCTCAGAGTTTGTGGATTAAAGAAATGGATTTGCAGCTGCTGCCTGGGTTTTCACAGCTCTGTCTAACTCTCTGCCTAGGTTTTAAATCTCTTTGCACAGTGGACATTCCCCCAAGCCCTGCAGATAGCTATCCCTTTCCCCACTGACCAGGCAGAGAACAAAATGAACATGGGTAGAGAGGCAAACAGTGAAAAGCAGATCTGATTTGAAAGGAAAATGCATGATGTATGGTTTAAACAGGGATTCCTGGCTCTGCTGTTGCCTCATGCAAATCTCATCACTTTTCCGCTGTGTTTTTTTCAGTTATGAAATAAGATAAGACTTTTCCCCCAGGGATAGTCACAAGGTATCAGGGATTAACTGGTACTTAAGCGCTCTGGGAGAAAAATCCTTTGCAAGTGTGAACAGCCTCCAAATTGAACACTGAAACCAAACTTGCCTGATGGTGTGTGTGGGCTCTACCAGTGCTAAAAGTCTCCTACACTAGGAAAAGCTGGCATGACGCACCCCGACATATCACCAATGAGGGATTGTCAGCCGTTGCTGCGTCACTGCCCTGCGAACGGCTCCCACTCTCTTGACTTCATTTATTATCTTAGTGTAGGAGGCTTGAAGCGCCTTCCTTTCACTACCAGGATAATATGTTTGGCCTGTTCCTGTCCTGAGGGGATTAACAGTAAAATTCCCAGTAATTTAATTGTGCGTACAGCCTAGGAGATGTTCATTTATTCAAGCAGGATGCCATCACCAATGACACTGATAACACATGGATCTGAGGTCGCTGCAAGGTCACCTGTAGAATTCATGAAAATTCTTGGTGAAACAGGGTTGGGAAATGTCTTCAGATCCTGAACCTGAAGGGGGTCCAGCACCACTGGCTGAGATGCAGACATGTAGCTACAGTAACACCATGTCAGTGTAAACAGCATTGAATTTACAGTTGGACTCTATGATCCTAAAGGTCTTTTCCAACCTGAATGATCCTGTGATTCTATGACACTTTGAATGCTGAAGCAACATTTGCTCTGAATTTTTCTTAATTTTAGCCTCCTGCATGCATGTTGAACCATATTCATATACATGAGTGACCTGGGCCCTCCATCTAGTGAAGTGAATAGGAGTTCAGCCATAAACGTTAGCAGGTGCTGATGCATTGCACAGGGAGCTACAGCCAATTCCTTACTCATTGATTAATGTGTGTTAGCTCAGTGTAACTGCTGGAGGAAGGGGGCTCATACATTAATGACAAAGACATTTCTCAGAGTAGTGTGCAAAGAGGGAAGAATAACATTTCCCAGGAAAGAGGAAAGCTGGTTGTTTCAGGAAATAGGTTTACATTGAATTTATTTGCCACATGTAGTGGAGATGGGGGAGAAAAAAGATTCAAACCCACTGTGGAATGGAACTTATTTAGAGCATGGTCTTCACAGCACTTAAGAAGTCCATAACTGTGAGAAAAAGGCTGCACTTTGCTGGGTAGATTTTGTGCTAGTTTCTCTACTTCCTCAGGCTGTGTTCAGAGACAGCATGGAGAGGTCATATAGGCAACTGCATGTGCTCTTGGTGTTCAGGCTGCAGCACCCAAGAGGAGGACATTCTGGCTGCAACATGCATTTGAAGGCTTGCACACACTGGGTGAGTGATGGTTGCCCTTGCAGTAGCAGGCAAGTTTTCAGTAAAATTACTGTGGTTGCCAGAAGGATTTGTCAGGATTAGTGTTCATCTCTTGTCCAATTTCTGGATGCTAGCCCACAGAATTAATTGTGGCAGCTACCTGTCACCTACATGCTTCAGTTTTGCAGAGAAGTCACAGACTGAATGAGCAGTCACAGCAATCTCCCTTTTCATTCCTGGATGTTGTCTCTTGGTGACAGGATTTAGGTATCATTCTGGAGCCACAGGAGTGTGTGGAAGAATCTGAGAAGGACAGGGCATTGCACTGAGCCAGAGCTTGTGACTGATCTCCTCTTACCTTTTGTATCTTTTTATTCTGCAAGGACATCAGGTCTGAGCTGTAGAATTCTGAGTCCAAAATTTCCTTGTCCCCAAAATCCTCATGAACCTGGGATAGAGTTCAGTTTTCCCATCAGCCTGTGGGATTCAGCTGATGACAGATGTGAGGTTTGACCTTGCTCTAACATCCTTCTTACGCCATAGGTGGACAGCGGGGGACCTCTGGTTTGCAGCAGCTGGAACACCATGAAGTGGTTTCAGGTTGGAATTGTCAGCTGGAAACAAGATCATGCAGACAAGCCAGCCCATGAGATCTTATTGTCTGTTTACAGCTACCGTCACTGGATAGAGACTGAAACAGCCAAAAGTGGGAAACCTTTCTTCATTGAAGGTGTGGATAACTATTCTAATAGTCAGCTGTTTTCCTCCAAGGCTGAGCCACAGCTGGTATCCCTTGAGTATTGTCTCCTTTTATTTATCTCTTTAATAGCAATTAGATTACTATAGGGAAGATTTTTTCAAAACATAATAAAAGTCAGAACTCATGTCTTATCATTCTCTCACACATATAATCGTGTCTCAGGTTAACTCCATCCCACTCATGAGCATACAGACACCAAAATGAGATGCAACTATGAGGCAGAAGAGCAAGGCAGAGGCCATTGAAACGAAATGAAAGATCAAGACTCAAACAAGAGAGGCCATAATCCTCTGAGAAAATTTGCACTGGTGGTCATACCAGGACCATTTTTTTGCTGAGTTCAGATGAAAAGTCAAATTGTGGCATCTGAAGGAGCTGCTCCTGTTAGAAAGCTGAAACCCGAAGAAAGGTCTTAGCTTACGCAGTTGCATATTAGCTGTTGGTAATATAGCTCTGGGTTAACATATCTTAATGCAAATTATCATCGGAACTAATGTATCTTCTATCTTGCAGCTAGCCCAAGCTAGGAGCATATTCAGAGACCACAGTAGCTTCTTAGATGGTACGTCAAGCTGCTGGGACTTGACTACATGTCAAATTCAGCGTCTCCTTAAGTGGCCAGTGTTGGAAGGTGTAGCATCATATAACTAATCAATCTTATTTACCTGGATTGCAAATGCTGGGTTTTGTTTGTTAAAAGCAACAGATAAAAATTCAGTTGACTGTAGAGAACTGTTTCTGAGCTATCCATAAAATACTGTCTACAGAAAGCTACAAAGTTTTCTACCCCTTGGCTTTGTAATTAGCCAAAATTAATCCCTTGCAAGTAAATGGTAAATCTAAAGGAAATACCACTTTTTTTTTATTTATTTTTTTTTAATTATTCTGTTAGAAGCCTTTTACATGGTTGCTAAGAAGCCCACATCCAGCCCGAGCTGGACCTGAGCTGGTCCTTCATTCAGTGCATGGTTCTTCATTCCTTCTTCAGCAGCAAAGTGCATTGCAAAATGTGTTCTGGTCTTCACAAGGCATTTGCTTTTCTTGGAAGTGATGGCAAAGGAGGCAAGCGAGAAGGTCTTCTTCATGTCCCACCTTTGAAGCAGCATAAAAGCACCTGTAATTTGCAGCAATGATAAAACTCAGTGAATGTGCAATGGGACAGAACCTCACGAATTAGTTTTAATTACCTTGATATTTTCTGGCTACTGGTGGAGAAGCCTTGTAAATGAGAATTAATTCATCTACCCTAAGCTAATGCAAGTCCATCTAGGCATAAAAGTCAGACTTTATTTTCTGTGTTATCTGAGCAGAAAATGATGCTTAATTATTATTAGTTCAGAGTAATGCTTATGAAAATTGCTCCACATTAATTTCACATGGCTGACTGGCTAATGGATGCATAAGGGTCTTGTAACCCTTTGCAAAAAGACTAATAAAAGCTAAAAACAAGGGGAATATATTACTTTAGCAGCTATTAGTAGTAGACAGTGTCTGCTGGCATTAATACCTATATTTATTTTCCTTTCTATTAATAATATATCAACAGATTCTAGAAGCTGTGTCGGGGCTGGACATCAGGAAATATTTCCTAATGCTGCAATCTATTCAGCTACAGAATTGTTTCCCCTAAAGGAAATGAGATGTCCTCCTGCTTGAATTATTTTAATGTAGGGATTGCATAAAGCACTTTCATCTACAGGACATGGCATGGAAAAAGCCTGCGCTTACAGAGAAATACTCAGAAGATATTTTCCATCAGTAGCATTTGCAAACTGATAGTTGTCTATGTTAAATGAAGGTGAAGCTACTTAGTGGGTATAGCAAGGCACCACTGCTATGGGTTTTGATTCATCCTGCTGCTCATTTACTCAGTGGCTTTAGGGAAAGAAAGTTTGTGCTTCATTCCTCAGTTTCCATACAGTAAACCGAGATAATTGAGGTACCTCATCCCTGTCAGTGTTCAAGGCCAGGGTGGACGGGGCTTGAAGCAACCTGGCCTAGTGAAAGATGCCCCTGTCTGTGGCAGAGGATTGGAACTGTATGAGCTTTAAGGTCCCTCCCAACACAAATCATTCTGTGATTCTTTTCTATAATTCTATGATGAAAGGGGTTCACTTTGCTGTATGGAAGCATTAGTTATGCAAATTAAGCTCAGCTATGTAGCTATAAAGTAATAAACAGGAAAGAGGACTTTTTTCCTCCTTATTTAAAACATCATAACATTTATGAAAGTGAATTCATCTCTGCTACTACATGCACTGTTCAGTAACTATGGCAAGAAATAAAATGTCTGTACAATATTTCTGTGCTGTAAGTAGGCCCGCTGTTGGTGCTGTATTTTATTTCAAAGATATTTGTGTTTTGAGAAAGCACATCACTTTGGATTTGATAAGAATCAGAATGCAAGATATCAACTTTTCATTAACATTTAAATGTGACCCCTTAATTTCTTAAGCTTTGCCACCTTGGTGTACTATGTTTCTTACGTTATCGTATTGCATATTTGTGGGTTTAGATCATCTAAGTAAACAGTTTCCAAACTGGACAACTTCATCTTTTATGCTTCATGCTATAGTTTGGGATGTTCACTTTTTGTCTTCATTTGCACCTCATTTCTTATTGATCCTTCCCTCTTTACAGATACCTCTTCCTCATGTCCAGTCAGCCCAATGGAGGGCATGAAACAGCCTGGGCAAAAGAAGTATGTCCCTTTGAATACACTTTGCTTAATGAGCAAATTGGCCAATATAAAACAAAGGCTGATGCATGGAGCAAAGTGATGAGAAGTAGTGCACCAATACAGATTTTGTTCTCGACACTACACCTTTAGTGTAAATACCAGAAGAGAAGCAGGATATTGAAATGCTTAGAGACCTAGGGAAACATCCATAAGACAACTCATGGAAAAAAACATAGAAGGATATGAGTACTCAAGGAAACAGAGGAGAGGTAAGTCAGGCCTTGCTTGCACATTTTGCGAAGAAGAGAAAAAGCACCTCCCATGAGCACTGAAGACAGCAAAATAATTTTGGCTTAGTTCTGCAGAAGTTAAGGGCTGTATATACTCACATTTATATGTGTGTTTGTGTTTCCCTGACTGCCCCATCCCAGATGGCCATTTGCACACAAGCTTGAGTAGCAAGATGGGAGATATGAAAATGATGGTGTTTGTGCAAGTTTGGTGGTGAGAGCTGGTTGCAGATGATAAGTAGGGAGGGCTCTAAGTAAGTAGGACAGTTGTGTGGCTCCACCTCAGAAGAGGAAGGTTGGAAAAGTATCAGTCCAAGTTCTCAGATGTCTACCACTGCAGAAATCCAACCTTTATTCTGGGTAAAGATCCCAGACCTCTCCCCCAGCTCCTCCATGGTAAATGTGACATGGGTCTGAAGACAAAGCAGTTCCCAGTACTGTCCTTTTAAAGGAGCTAAGATTTCCCATTTTCTCCTTTTCCAGCCTGTATTTCCATGTGGGGGTAAGACACAATGAATAGTCTTGTCTTCTCCTGATCCTCTCTGTCCCCTTGAGGAGAAAGAAGAGGGCACACATGGCTGTGACCATGACCACTGTCATCCATTTGTCGTTTCGTATGCACATGGAGTGTTCTGACTTTGTGTATGTGTCTTTAGATGTCTGAATTCAATGCAGGCAAAATGTCAATGGGTTTATTTCTCACTCATATTTTTGTGTGCCTGCCAGACGATGAGCGAAGAATCATCTGTGTAGATGGTAAAAATCATTGGTCAACTCTTTAGTTGTGTCTTCTGTTGACAGCAAAGTAGTTAGTTTAGAGCTGGAGACTGAAGGCTGCAGAGGATCAGCACCCATTGCCACATTTCTGAGTGACTTCCCAAGTGGCTTTATGGACAGGCCACTTTTCAGGCTAAGGACTCAGTTTATCCTTCTGTAAAAATGAGAATATTTAAAAGCCAGGGATGTCTCTTGGGCTGCGCCAATTGTGATAGTGATTAATCACTATTGCTAACTGAAGTGAAGATAGGGACAGAAAACAATACTGGCAGTGTTAAACTACTTAATTTGTGCTGAACACTTCTGGTGTTACGCTGAAGAGATGTTTTAAGTAGGTGGATTATGGTCTGGAGAAGATACTGGCTTTGGGGTGAATACAGGATTAAGGTTGGCAGCCTTTAACATGCCTAACCAAGCTGCTGCCATGCCTAAATGCACTCCAGAAATACAGCCATGCCTTTCCCAGCAATTTGGGAACCCTTAAGTGTGATGGATCTGTGATGAAGTGAGAAGTGCCCATCCTTTGCATAGCGATTGTGCTTGCTGCCCTTGAAGAAAACCTATTCTGCTTGAACAATTTCACTTTGGCAATGAAATCACTCTGGTTTTGGCCTCCCTGGCAGTCCTGTGCAGTCCACACTGCTGATCATGGATGGCTTCTCTAAGCCATGCTTGAACTACCCATGTACTTAAAAAGCACCAGCTTGGCTGCCTCTTCTCCATTCTGACATTGTGTGTCCTACTCCTGGTGGTTATGAGGGCTTGCTGACTGCAGCTGAGCTTACAACATCCTGCGGCATCAGAAAACATACTCTTAGTGGGTATTTCCAAGTGTCTGCATTCAATGTATCTGCCTCCCATGTCCTTTTCTCAAGAGGTGTCTCGTGTTTGCTAACATTACTTGTACTCACAACTGGTTGCTTTCTCCATATATCAGGATGACTCACTGCTTCAAGGGCTCTTTAATATGCAAGTCACTTTGTTTCCACAGCCCAGACCACTAAATGATTTCCTCTGCTGGGAAGAGTGGGTTTCAAGACACCACTGGAAAGTAACTGTTCCTCCAGGCATTTGAATTTGTATGTCTTCACACTAAGTCTGCAGGCACTAATCACAACATAAGTAACTCCAGAGCTAACTCATGTGCCTCCAGATTAGGGAAATGGCGGTGGGGAAGGATGATAGGCACTGAAGGCAGGCGTAAGAGTATAAATTCAACTCTACAGCAACCCTGTGAGATCCTAGAGGAGCTCCATAGGTTTGTTTATGAAGAGTAACTCTTGAAAATTGGGACAATCAAGTGTGATCCAGCTGGAATTTCTTTGGAGAGCTATTGGGAGAAGAAAGTTTTGTTCTTTGTCCTCTTTGCTTTCATCACAATGGGAGA